ACTGTTTTATGCTTGTTTAAGATATGTGTAATGCTTATAGAGTGTGATATTCTATTCTTAATCATCTATTACATGATTTCCATCCCTTACTTGAACTAAGTACCAAATCTAGAACATTATTTGATTCATCTTTTATGACCTTGGATATATCCAGAACATTAGCAAGTCATTATGTTTTTCTCCTGTCTAAAACAGGACTTTATGCATATCTAATAATTACCTTACCATAATTTATGAAAACTATACCAAAAGCTTGAAGATACTTATGCCTTATCCTTGCTTAGGCTCATTTTGAATTCCTCCTTCTGCCTTTACTTTGTCTTTGATATTGTCTTTGTAAGTCAGGTAGTTATGGAGGAAATCAAGAAATGAAAATTCATGATTACCTTTCATTAGTCAATTTATCAGTTTCATGGAGAAAGTCAAAGGCTATTTTAATGTGTATGTGTCTTTTAGTTTGAATTTTGTTTTGTGTACATACCCAAAAAACATACCTAGATCACATTGGATTTGGTCCTGCATACAGGGTAATTGTTCCAAATAGAACAAGGTATCAAGAAATTCTTTGAGGACTATGGTTAGATCAGGAAATGCATTTCAATTTGATGGGTGATAAATTCATAATCTACTCCTCCTTAAAGAATGAAAGATTGGATGATTCATTGCATGTGAATGAGGAAGGGAAGTCAACTTTATGATGGAATGTAAGACTCAAGATTGCATGAGGTGCAGCTCATAATTAGTTTCCTTGCACAAGGGGTTCAACTCAGTGAGCTTGACATTAATCATATTGAACTTGTCATTTATTGCTTATCAGAAATGGTTGCTATCAGAAATCTGTAAATTTTAATTTCAACAAAGAAACTTGAAATTGTATGAAAACCTTATGAGAACTTATTATTTGTCATACTCAACTTGTCATTTGTCATAGTAAACTTGTTATTGTTGGAAATTGTGCCCTAGGGGCCAATCATTATGTTTTGAACATTGTTAATTTATGAGTTTATTAATTAGGTTATCATATTATTTGCATGTTTACTGTGATAACTATCCTTGGATAACTCATGGTTTATCCTAAATGTCCCTGGTCGGTCATCTATGTGGGAGCAAAGATGAAATAAGACCAGTGTGACTTTAAAGATATATGGAGATATAAATTAAAGTCATAGGCACATGTAAGAGTACAAGGTGTTGGACCGACCCGCTATGAGAGAGCTGCATGGGTTAAGTCATAAGCTTCTCTCATATACAAACCATGTCACTGTGCCCTTTGACCTGAGATCATCATGGATTCATACATGAGAAATGCTTAGCTTTGACCTAGTCAAAAGTCACTTTTGACCAAGTGATCATAAAGACTATGTTCAGGCTTAGTGGTTTTTCATGCGTAGGAATGTGAATGGTCAAGATGGAATTTGTCCCTCACATTCGTAGAGAGACATTACTGGGCCCCTCGATGAGTGAGTCTGAGAAATGTATGGCCATACTATAATGGAAAGGTAGTTCCATTTCTATACTCAGACTACTCAGGGATCGAGAAAGTAACGGTCATGAATAGGAGGATGACATTCTCCATGCCTCATCCATGACTAAAATGTCGTGAGACAAAAGGGACGTGATGTGGTTGTATGAAAGGTTGCATCGTTCAATGATCCTCATATGATTTGGGTAGTCGTAATGTCTTGCTAGAGACCGCTTACGACTTGTGGGTCATCATAGTTAATGGCCCACTGCCAACTTCATATGGGCCTACAGGGTCGCACACAAAATAGCCCGACACGAGTTATGATGTCCAGATTCATTGAATCTAAGATATGTCCAGATTCAATGAATAATATAGGGTGGACGTGTGTATATATATATATATATATAAATTCGTATATATATATAAATATAAAAGATATTAATTGTTAGATTTAATTTATAAGGATAAATTAAATATATACAAATTAATTCCGTCATCTCTTTATTAAATAAATAGGAGAATTAAATCTGTGAGACGGATTTAATTTAAACCATATTTATTTAATTGTTCTCTTATCTGATTAGGCAATATTTTGATATTGTATTAATTTCAGAATTAATTTAGAGTTAATTTCGAAATTAAATATTATTAATTAAACCTATATAGCATCCTATATATTGGTATGAGGAGCTAGGGTTTAACTAAGAGAGAACCAACACCTAAGAGACGGCCAAAGAGAGGAGAGAGGACGGATTCCTAAAACCCTAGACGGACATAGGCGCTAGCACGCCGTTCGAGGTTGAGGGCTACTCGTGTGGATACCGGTAGAGGAAGCCGACCGGAGTTGTCGACTTCGAACGACAAAGGAGGCACCAGAAGCATCCTGAACGGCCGAATCATCAAGTCACCAGGGAATCGAACGCCTAAAGGTAATGCTTCTTACTACCTGACTTAAACGCGATCGGTAGATCCGGGAAAGGGAATGAAAGTTTTAAAATTTTATGTCGTTTTCCGCTGCGCGTCGCCTTTCAATTCCCTTCAGTTATTTCGTAAATCAATGTAAAAATTCAGTCATTTTGACAGAGAAATTTGAAATTATATGAAAACCTTATGGGAACTTATTATTTGCCAAACTCAACTTAGCATTTACCATAGTGAACTTGTTACTTTGTAAATCAATATGGAAATTCAGTTATTTTAACAAAGAAATTTGAAATTGTATGAAAATCTTATGGGAACTTGTCATTTGTCATACTCAACTTGTTATTTGTCATAGTAAACATTTCACTTCGTAAATCAATGTGAAAATTCATTCATTTTGACAGGAAAATTTAAAAATTATATGAAAACCTTATGAGAATTTGTCATTTACCAAAGTCAACTTGTCATTTGTCATAATAAACTTGTCACTTCGTAAATCAATGTGGAAATTCATTTATTTTAACAGAGAAATTTGAAATGGTGTGAAAATCTTATAGGAACTTGTCATTTACCTAACTCAACTTGTCATTCGTCATAGTAAAATTGTCACTTGTCATAGTAAACTTGTCACTTTGTAAATCAATATGGAAATTCAGTCATTTTGATAGAAAAATTTGAAATTGCATGAAAACCTTATGGGAACTTGTTATTTGCCAAAGTCAACTTGTCATTTGCCATAGTAAACTTGTCACTTCATATCAATGTGAAATTCAGTCATTTTAATGAAAAAAATTAAAATTGTATGAAAATCTTATGGGAACTTGTCATTTGTCATATTCGACCTGTCATTTGTCATAGTAAACTTATCACTTCGTAAATCAATGTGAAAATTCAGTCATTTTAAGAGTAATTTGAAATTGTATAAAAACCTTATGAGAACTTGTCATTTGTCAAATTCAACTTGTCATTTACCATAGTAAACTTGTCACTTCGTAAATTAATAAGAAAATTCAATCATTTTAACAGAGAAATTTGAAATTGTATGAAAACCTTATAGGAACTTGTTTTATCATACTTAGCTTGTCATTTGGCATAGTGAACTTGTCACTTCTGATAAGGTTTTCATACAAATTTACATTTCTCTTATGAAATGATAAATTCCAGAATTCTTTGACAACAACCAGTTTTTTACAATAGAAGGAGGTAATAATTGTTAATTTGAGTATATCAGCAGGAGATGAGATTGTGGAATAAAGAGAGATTATGGAGAATGAGAGCTTGTATATGAAGAGTACTATATTAGCATTGCATGTTTTGCAGAAAATTAAATATGGAAGCTACACGGTTAGCATGTTTTCATTTCTCTCATTGCTAATCAATGAGTTGGAAAAAACATGAAAGAAAGTCACGGTTTTGGAGAAGAAGAATGAAGTTGAAGGAGAGTAGAATAAAGAAAGAGAAGGAAAGGGGAGAGAGAGAGAGAGAGAGAAAGGAAGTCAGAAATTTAAGTTTATGATATCATAAGAGAGAGGGAGAGAGAGAGGAAGAGGGAGAGAAGGATGAAGAGAGAGAGGAAGAGAAGAAGGAAAGAGAAAGAAATGGGGTGCTGGAAGAAAGAGAAAAGGAAGGGCATTTGAGTCATTTGAACTTCATTTCATAATTGCAATTTAAAACCCAGTCTCTGATAGCAATTTTGTGAATTGAAGTACCGAAATTGCAATTTTATATTTTCAAGGGTTTTTATTTGCCATTTTTCCTTTTAAATATGATATATTTTAATAAAAATATTTTAACCATTTAAATAGTTATTTATTTTTTCTTCTCTCTATCCAAGCAACTCCGATTTTTTCTTCTCTCTGTTTCTCCTCTTCCCATTTTTCTTTCTTCAAAGTTCTAACTTTTCTTGGCATCCAAGGAAGCAAAGCATTAATGTGCCTCATCATATGAACGAAACCCATCAAAAGCAACACCCACCTCAATCAAAAAGTCTTGAGAAACGTGTCCATATCTCTTCCTTCACTGTTCTTTTCTTCTTAATCAAAAAGCCTTGAGAAATGTCTCCATATCTCTTCCTTCACTGTTCTTTTCTTCTTAATCAAAAAGCCTTGAGAAGTGTTTCCATATCTCTTCCTTCACTGTTCTTTTCTTCTTAGTCAAAAAGCCTTGAGAAGTGTCTTCATATCTCTTCCTTCACTGTTCTTTTCTCCTACCACTTCTCTGAAAATTGTTGCCTGTTATCCTCTAACTGTTTTTTAATTTTGAGGCTTTGTCCAAATTTTTTTTAATTTTTATTATTAAATTCTACATAAAATATATGACATTTTAATATTTTATTTATAAAAAATATTTAGTTTCCGATTTTTACAATTTTTTAAAATTTGAATACTCTACGTTAAGAAAAAAAAAAACTAAAGCATTTAAATCGCTAAATCTTATAATTTTGCAATTGGCGAAATTGCTCTAAAAAACTTTTCTGATGCCACGGCTCTTTTACGAAAACTTCGGGAGCAAGAATGACTTTTAATCCTAGGATAAAATACATGACCATATATATGCACCCACTCATCCTCAATTCCCTTGTAGTTGCACTAAGCACACAAAACTGAATTGTTTCTGCGCACAAACAGTGAAGGATGGCGTCATCGAAAGTGAGCTTGAAGTTGTTGATCGACACAAAAGAAGAAAGAGTTCTCTTTGCCGAAGCTTCAAAAGAGTTCATCGACTTTCTATTCAGCTTGCTTCGCTTACCCCTTGCTACAGTGACCAGGCTGCTAACCAAAAATGCCATGGTTGGCTCCTTAGGCAAACTCTACGAAAGCGCAGAAAATCTGAGCGACGTTTATCTCAACAACCCAGAACAAGACAGGAACACTTTGCTGAAGCCAAGTGCTCCATTAGATCCTGGCTACCTTCTGCCTGCTGCAAATGATGATGATCGTCATGATACCAATTCCTCAGGAACTACTCCAAATCTCTACATGTGTGGGAGCCGTTGCAATTATGCGGTGACTTATGTTAAGGACACGAAGTGTCCACATTGTTCATGGGGCGTGATGAGGGATGCTGTACAATTAGTAGGTAATGATACGAAGGCGACAGAAGTGAAAGATTCAAGTGCGAAAGGCTTTGTGAAAGGAGTGGTCACTTACACTGTGATGGATGATCTCGAAGTTCGTCCCATGTCTACCATTTCAACCATCACTTTGATCTCCAAGTTCAAAGTCAACGACATTTCTTCCTTACAAGAAAGGGTTGTTGAGTTGGGAATGGAAGAGGTAACATAATTAATATATGCAGGGACTTCATCTCTGAAACTTTTGTTTTCATTTTCTGTGTTTTCCAAAGATGTTCGGTTATTATACTAAAAGCATAACATAACCTTTTCCCCAAGTGAGAATCAAGTCAAAATTCTGGCCAAAAAAAAAAATCAAGTCAAAATTTATTGTAAAGTTATATTTTCTTAAATATTGATCACATGTATATTTAAGAAGTGTTTGGATGGAAACCAAACTATAACTTTAAAAATAATTTTACAGTATATAAAATAAATATGTAAAGAAGTTTGTCTCAATTTATAAAAAAAATACTTTTAAAAAATATTTTTGATGATATCTAAATACTCTCTAATCGGTTTTCTTTTGAATATCGTTGGATCAAAGATAATATAATATGTGTCTTATTTACTCTTAGTTATTATTCAGTTGCTTTTTACATTCTTGCTTACTTTTTTGATGCTAGCTTTCTTTTTTTGTGCCCCTTATAATGTTTGTAGACTCTAATAGTTTTTTCTTTCATTAGGGTATTAAATTGCTGAAGGCTTCCCTGCAGTGCAAGAATGTTTTGACAAGTGTTTTTCTCCAAAAAGACGACATAAAAAAGCAAGGAATTTCTCAAGACATTGTAATGGAAAGTGAGACTTGCTAGGTTCCTTTTGTTTCTGTGTTTCATCGGTCTTCGTTTCTTTTCCTCTTTTTTGGTGGGTGACATCTATTTCAGTCTACTTTTGTACTATTTTTGTTTGTTTTGCCTGATACTTTTGTACTGTTATGAACTTCTGGGATGTTTTATTTTTATGGTTAATCAGGCTGGTGAAATTAATTACTGTTGCCAAACCCAACTATTTGTATGATGCTAGTTATGAAATTTCATGCTTGCTCAACAATTAAAAGCAGTTATCATGATGCTGTGTCAAGCGATCAGTTTTTTCTGTAAAGAATACTGAAAAATCCCAAAAGAAAAAAAACACTTTCGTTGCATTATTATGAGTTACTAGTTCAAGAAAAAAGATAGAAAAAGAAAAATTAAAGTCATTTTCATACGGTACGACCATAGGACAAAAAGGGGCCATTATCATTAACAAAGCTCCTATGAAATGCCGTACACTGTTGGGGGGAAAAAAATAATATCTGTACACTGTAGCTATAGCCATTGATTTTCTGAGTAATCCAGCCAACCTTTTTCAAAATATAGTTTTTGAAAAGTACATATTTGTCAAGGGAAGCAATGAGGCATTTTTATCAAAATATTATAAATAAAAAGAAAAATTAGAGATAAATCTCTTATTAAAAATTTAATTAGCTGGACCTAAAGATTCTATGTAGCTTAACTTAACTTTCTTTGTGTGCAATTTATCTTCCTTTGTATATAATGATCTTCCTTTGTGCAATGTACAACACAATTTTACTTTGTGCAAATAAAATTCTTTTATGTGCAAGTTATCTTCTCTATGTGCAAACTAATTCCTTATATCTAATAATATTTTGTACAAACTATCTTTCTTTATGTAACTTCTTTTTTTTTGTGTAACTAATTTTTTTCTTGTATAATCAATCATTCTATGTCCTATTTACCAAATAAATTTTTAATGAGAAATTTATTTTCATTTTTTTCTAAATAAAGTGAACAATCCAAATGCTACCTGATGGAAAGCATTAACCATACGCTACACTATTTGAAACTTGTGCGTTCAGACCGTGAATAAGTTCAGCCTGATATGTTTTTTTCAAATTGTTCCTTGATTCTTATATACAAATGTACTATTGTACCCTCAACCTAAGCCGCCTGCGTCGGGGCTGATCCTAGTAGATGCTTTGAGTTTTATCCCGTTAGATGCTTTTAGTTTTATATGCAAAATATTACTAGAAAAATAGGCTTTGGTAGCCCAAACCCAGATATATGATAATATTATCTCAAATATTTAATATAAAAATAGTTGATTAATTTAAAAAAATAAAAAAATATTAAAATTATTTAATTAAAGTATATATTATATGATCTTTTTAAAATAGTTATGTATATCATTATATTATATGTTAATTTATAAGTGAGGAAAATTAGTTTGAGAAGAAATAATAAATATAAATACTTTAAATTGATTTAATAATTTTTTTAATATTTCTAAATTAGTTAATTAGGTCTTATATTAAGAACAATAGATACTAATTTTTTAGAGAAAAAAGAAGGCCAAAAAAAAGGAAAAAAGAGGAATTTGATCGCTTCTTCCCCCGGTATATTTTAGGGAAGACAACTATGTTTGATGTCAGTGAAAACGTTTTGACCAAAGACATGTAATATACTACCTCCGGTCCTAATTATAAGACCCAGTTGACTAATTTGAGGAGATTAAGGAAATAAGTTAAGTTAGTTATTTGTAACAAATAAGTGTTGTCATTCCTAAAATATCCTTACTAATTAAGTGTGTTGGTTAGAACTATCATTATTAGAAGGACTATCTTGAAAAAAATACATAAATATGAGAGACAAAATGGATTGGGGTCTTATAATTAGGACCAAACTAAAAGCCAAACGGGGTCTTATATTAAGGACAGGAGGTAGTACTTAATTTTGTTTTTAAAGTGTAAAAATACCTTTAAACTTCTATTTAACATCTTTAAACTTCTTTTTAACATCATAAACTTTTCAGACTCAAATACTTATGAATTTGCAAAATCAGAGAAAAAAATACATAACATTAAATTCTTCTAACGAACCCACGTCATTATTATGACAGTATCAAATCACTCCTAGCTGAAAGAAACATAAAAATACAAAAATACTCATAAATTTTTAAACAACATGCTTCAAACGCCATGTATTCTTCAGCAAGTATAAAAGTACCATAACGAACATGTAACAGTATTAAAGAGTTTTCTTTTTTGGAAATTAACAGCTTACATTACTGCCCAAGATTTCCTCATATACTGCGGAGGCACATCCTTCTCCTCAAAACATTCTTGCATTGCCTGCTGTAGTTGGATGCCCTACCAAATATGGGAAATAATAATATTAGAAAATTCAAGGAAACTAGAAAATAAAGGGAAGCAGGAGTGTTTATATTTAAAGGATAAGTTTGCTTATATTTTCTACTAAATTAGTAAATTTCTCAAAAGGGGAGACAAACTAAGACGCACACATGTACGGGTATGATGACCCGGGTCCGAACTATTCGGGGCAACATTTGAAAGTGTCCTTGTTGCTTTGGATTCAGCAAGCAAGCATCATTGATGTCGTCCATGCTTTCATAAAGTTCAGCTATATATCCACCCCACCAATTCCCGTACAGGAGCCTTATGACTGATCCAATGGGTAAGCCAAGTCAATAAGTTTCAGTAAAACTACTTTCAATTTTCAATATAAAAACTAATTAATTAAAATAATTAATTAAATTAATTATTATTTGCAATAAACAGATGTTGTCTTTCTTAAAATTTCTTACTAATTAAATATATTAGCTAGAACTATTATTTGATAAAATATAACATTTAACATGTGTAACTACTATAAAGATTATCTTAAAAAAAGAATAAATATGAGATACAAAGTAAATTAGGGTCTTATATTTAGGATTAAATTGAAAGTTAAACTAGTTATATTACCTCCAATTCTTAATATAAAAGCTAGCTTAACTTTTAATTTGATTCTAAATATAGACCCAGATCCACTTTATTTTTTATATTTATCTATTTTTTCTAAAGCGGTTTTTGTAGTATTTACACATGTTAAATGTGTTTTCAATTTAAAGTTTTAACTAATACACGTTATTAGTAAGGATATTTTAGAAAAGATAACACATATTTATTATAAATAACTAACTTTAAAAACTTTATTAATATACTTAAATTAGTAATCTAACTTTTATATTAAAGAGCAGAGATGATATAAGAAAGTGTAAGTAAAGCTATTATATATAGAGTCAATTTTTTCAATATATGTAAAGATAATAAAGAGTTTATTAAAGAAAAAAAGTATTCCCTCTGGTCTTAAATATGATACTTATTTTATAATATAAATTATACAATAAAATAAGTCTTATATTTAGGGTATGTGATCACATATTTGAGTTTGTTCATTGTATTGTCTCGGGATTTGAGTATACTGATGGCCTGAACCAGATTTATTTGTTTAATTCCTCAAAAAGATCACACGTGTTGCAGTGAATGGTAGATTTTTTTTTTTTAAAGAAAAAGACTAGATAGTAATTTCGGAAAATAATTAAAGCTCACATTGTTCTTTTTGTGACCAGAGAAAGCTCACATTGTTTAATTCTTTGAATGAAAATATCCGTGCATGAATTGATTGATTGATTTGTACTAAGATCACTCAAATGAGACTTATGATTACCAAATTCTTCAATGCTATGATGCATATAAATTGCTATTCTTTTTAAATGCGTCTTTTTTTTTTAAGTACATTTAGTATTTTAAAATCTTTTATATATATATATCTAATATCCTGAAATGTTTTTTAGGTGTGTTTATAATTTTGAAATATTTTTCAACAAGTGGGTCCATTACCTTGAAGGATTTTTTTCTTTTGCTTTAGTACTCAATGCAACAAACAATATTTTATAGTGTTAGATGTACTTAAAAAAATTTTAGAGTGTAAGATATACCAAAAAATACTTCAAGCAGAATAGTAGATGTACTACAAAATACTTTAGAATGTTAGATATATCTTAACTTGTCTTTTAATTATTATCATTATTTTCTCCATTTTCACTTTAAGATAAAGGAAAAATGTCTATTTTTTGTCTTGAAAGTTTTTATATGGTATCCGTGGATATACAAAAAATTTTTTTAAGAACAATATCAAACCAAGATTATTAAAATTGGAGTAATATCACCTTTTTTTTTTTAACGCCCACTCACATTGACCCCTAATTTAGAAAATAAACAACTAATAAAACAGGAGTTTTAAGCCAACACCACTGTGGTGTAGTGGCACGTAATTTGTCTTGGGTGCAAAATGGTTACGGCTTTGCCGCAAGTATTAGTTTGCTAACTGAAAAAAAAAAAAAAGAGTTTTATACATGAAAAAAGTGATTAGGGGGTGTTTGGATAGAAACCAAACCATGGTTTCAGAAGTATTTTTACGGATTACGAAGTAAACATGTGGAGGAAGTTACCTCGTTTTGCGGAAAAGTGATTCTGAAACTATGGTTTTGATTTTGCCAAACACCTCCTAGAAAGGAAATAATTAAAGGAAAAAAATAATAAAGAAAAGTGGAATTTAAAGAATGTTTTTGACTAAAAAGCACTTTAATTTGACGCGTTCTCTGCCTCATGAAAGTGGCGTCGCTTAAACTTTGGCTGCATTTTGGCGCTTTGGTGAATGTTAGCCTTATTTGCTAGAGGTGAAAGTGAAATTTTTTGCCAACAAAGAGAAGTGGAATTTAAAGCATGCTTTTGAATGTCCCCAAAAAATGCACGCTTTTGATTAGAAAAAATAAGCCACAAATTTATCTCAAAAATTGTCACTTAAAAATACTAGGTATTAGAAAGATTTTTTTTAATGAAAATTGTAGCAATATTTCTCTTACTGGAAAAAATTTGAGTTCAAAATGCAATGCTGGCGACGATGAGGCATCTGCATGGCAGAAGAGAGGTATTTATCTCTTGCTTGGATTGAGAGAAAATTAGAAAAAGAAAAAACTAGAGAGAAAAATAAAAAGAGAAATGAGTTTTTTTCTTCTTGAATAGAAGAAAAAAAAAACAAAAGAAAATATAAAGTGTATCTCATATCTCATCTTCTCTCTATCTAAATAAAAAGGATGATAATTTTTTTTTTCCTCTATTTGTTTTCCGCATCGTTTCCTCTCATTATATTTTTCTTC